AAAGCAAATGCACTGATAAGTGAGACAAAAGCATTGCTAACTGGATTGCAAGGATTGTCTATTAATAGTCATGCTGCTTTAGTTTGTTTGGGTGGTCTAAGTTAGTAGAACACAAGCTAGGTGGCAGGGTATTCGTTCACAAAACTGAAAATGAATGTGAGTGAGAAGTTGGTTGTCCTGCTGGCAAAATCTAAGAACTAATCTGTTCTGGCTCCAAGCTTTTTTCCCCTAGGAGTGTTTGTAAACCAGCATTTGAAGAACTGTTCTCTGGTAGTCTTGAATGTCTTCATGAAAGTCATAGATTACTTTAACTGATAAAGGTGTATTCCCAACATACACGGCAGGGGTGGTCTTGCTGTACAAGTACAGAAGTGGCTTTGGAGGCGTAATTAGCTCCTATGTTTTGTCGTATGTTGGAAACGTTGCAGAAGACAAGTTTACAGTAAGAACAGATGTGATCCTGCATCTCCTACGTTTGAATACTGGAAGACTGCTCTGGACTACTTTGAGAACAGAGGTTCACCCTGGGATATCTGTTAATGTTTGCCTCTTAGTGAGGCAAACTGAGCCTCTTTTTCTAGCCACTAGTATGGGAATATGAGTGACTGTTATCCTCTTTTATGTTTTCTGTAATGATAAAATTTATGGTTTGTGCTTTAATTTTGACTGTGATTGGTTGAGAAAAAATAGTTTCTGGAGAGAAAAGCACTTGGTAAATATCAAGGGCACTTGCTGAAAGTAGTACCAAGCTAATCTAGGAAGAAATGTAGCTTTATTGAAAACTTGTTCTCTCTTCCTTTGCATGCTAGGTGTCTTAGAAAATGCGTTTTTTTAAGATGGTAGCTGCACTTGAGTATGTGTAGATGGGACAGTGTTTAGAGCTGTCCTGTAAGAAGCCTCTAAGTATGCATACTTATGTAGTAAGTAAGCAGCACAAATTTGGTGGTAGCTGTACATCATTTTTATCCTTAGAGCTTGCCTAGTTTTATGGTGCACTTCTGTAAATAGTAATGAAAAATCATACTTCAGCAAGATGCTTTTCTTTCAGACAAGTTGTGGGAGCTTCAGGCCACAGTACTCTGTTGTGGGATTTGGTGTACTATTTTGCTATTAGCTTTGAGATTAAGGCTTGAAGTCAAATTCTTGAAATGAATTAATGTTGTATTACCTTGCTGGATTTCTTACAAGAGAAGTCAACAACTGGGAAGACTAAGTTATTCAAACTAGAAAACCTCTTCAAGGTGCAGTAAATTATTTTTCTTTAAATTTGAAACTTACTGGTGGCTGTAAGACTGATCTGAAACAGAAGACTGCTAGTGGATGGGACATAATACCTTAGTGCTAGTCAAAGGATGCCTCACAAAACAGAAGGTAGCTGTTTTTTCAGGCTCTCATTTTGCTCTGAAAAAGACGCTTGGAATTTCCCTTCTTCCCTTCACCTTTTGAACAGGAAGTATTTGAAGTAATTTTTTTCAGAGAGGGGAATATAGGAAGATATTCTTTAGAGGATTACTAGATCATGATGAATCTCAAATTTACTGATTTTAATATATATTTAAATAAACAGAATAGATATGTAAAAAACTGAGTCCTCTGTAGATCTTATAGCAGGATGGACTTTGGTGCACAATAATGAAATCAAAATTGTTATACTTTTTGCCATTAAAATTCCATCAATGTGAATTAGCTGACTTATCACTAATCTCATCAAGATTAAGAGACCTTAATCTTACTCAAACAACATTATAGTCCAGAATAAGAGGCTGGAAATTGATTTTTTTTTTTTTCTTGTTTGTATTGCATGTGTTCACATACATGTGCTTGCTATTTTGTGATTCACCACAAGCTATCAGCAGCTTGGAGGTGATCTGATAAAAACTGATAATTCTCTTACTAAATTATTTGAGGTTACATTCTCAAATACTAAATTATTTGAGGTATCCTAGCTGCTGAGCTGCTCTGAGAATTAATTTGCTTCCCAGTCTATGGTAGGGAACCTGAATCTTTGATTATACAATCTAGGGAAATACATTTAAAAGAGAACCTACAGCTACTGTTTCATTATTAACAAATGCCTCTTAGAAGAACGGTTTTCATGACCCTGCAGGCAGTTCTATGCACATCTGTCAATGTTTGCCATCGTGAAAGCGTAAAACTGGTTCTCAGTTGAAGTGTTACTTCAGGATTCTTTTGAACAGGTGCTTTGTATAAACCTTAAAGGCAGAAATACTGGAGGAGGGCAAAGAGAAGGTTTTTGAACTTCAACAGCGTCCTGCTATCAACACTAAACAGAAATGGGGTATGCCTTAACTTTTGGCTGGAAAATAGTCTTAAATGCAAGTGATAGTAGCAGTTACTACCCTGCTTGCTACCTGCATTTATAAAGTTGATTTCCTAACTAGGAAAACAGAGCTTGAACTAGTGGGGTTTGATACAACAGTACAATTATCTTAAATCATTTGAATACACTGTGTGACAAACCGATGCTACAAGAGCTATTTTTTCATGTTCAGCTATTCTGTTCTCGAAACTGCAGCCTCAGACAGAAGGGAGTAGATGCTACCCCCACCAATCTGTTTGGAGTTGACATGCTAAAGCTTTTTAACATCTTAGAATGAAATAGCAGTTTAAACTAATAGTGGGTGGGATGATGAGGTGTAATGAGTGGAGAACTTGTCAGTTCATCCCAACAAAAATCTCATGAATTCTGGTGATACCAAATCCATTTTGAAATTATTCAAATGTGGGCTTTCTAACTTAATGTTTAAACAAAATGTCCTGTTTCTGGTGTAAGGTACTAAGAATCCAAATACTTATATTTAGACATAAATTGTATTTGTTATATAACTGTAATGAAGTACATTCCAGACTTGAAAAATCGTTAGCTGCTACAAGATTTGAGTAATTGCTAATTAGTGTGGTTTGTGGCCAGTACTCATGGAGTCACTAGAGTAGGAACAAATGCACTTAAGCCAGTTGTGGTATTTGGTTTCTGGCTTTTAGTCCTTCTTATTGGCCTGCCAGAAACTTGTCCTACGTATTGACTGGCTTTCCATCCTGAAGTACAAAGAATTAAGAGATATTTGCTTTATTGCAAGTTATTAATTGGGTGAAATTTATTTTTTTTTTTTTTTTAACAACTTGCAGGATTCTGAGCTCTGCTTGTGGCTGTGGGCATTATGCTGGTTTCCAGTGCTGTGCTGCATTTCTCTTTGCCCGTCCCACTGACTGTGCTCAGGGAAAGTGCCTTGCTGGCCAGCACCTGGTAGTCAAGTAGCAACTTTGTGTGGGATGAAGGTGCTACAGGTGCTCAGCACATAGTGAAGTGATCATGTATTTGAGGGTGTGGGCAGAGGAGTGGCTTGAAATCTGAACTCTAATAGTGTTAAGCAGCTTAAACTTCTCTACAGAGTAGTCTTCTTTGGGAGCACAGATCTCTTCCTCCCTGCAGAAGGAAAAGCTCTCTACCATTTTTTAGTAGAAAAATTAAAGTACAGCTATATGCAGAGGAAAAGCGGATACAACACTATCTACTCATGGATTCATTTGTGCAGGGAATAGATAATGTTCTCAAACATTGTTCTCTATTGTTTTCCTCATGCATTATGCAACATGTTTCCCTAATGAAAGCAGGATAAGAGCACCTAAAATTTTGAGTTACCTTCCTCTCCTGAGGAAAAAGCACTTACTTGTAGCTAGCAGTGTCTTCCATGGTTTCCTGTCATTATGTTGCTCATAATTATTTGATATCCCTTATGTGATTGTCTCTTGCCAGCCTTAGTGGTGCCAGTTGTCAGGTCACATCTGATTTTCTGCTCCATGCAGCTTCCTGTACATGAAAGAGATGGGCTTGATATACCTCTCATATGTGGAGTCTGGCTTTGCACAGGCATGAACAGAACTAAATCCCCAAGTTGATGGTGTAATGTTAGTGTGCTGGTAGCTTCAGAAAGACTGAACTAGCCAAGGTAGAAGTTGCTACTTAACAGCCAGTGGTGGTTCCCATCTTCTTTCCTTGCTGAAGTGGTCTGGCTTTTTTGGAGTACACAGCTGTCCTAGCATAACCATACTCTCTTGCTAAAAATAGCAGATGTACCACTCAAGTAGGCCTGTGGCCACAGGGAAATGTTCTACAGATCTAATACTTTGCTGGCATGGTTGCTTCTGATACAGCTCAAAAAGCCAAATCCTTACTTCCTCCTGTGACTGTCTTCTGAGGTTTTAAGTTTTCTTTTCTATTCCCTATCCAAAAAGCAAGCAAATAGTTTGGAGTGGGGCAGTGGGAAGAAGAGGAGACAGACTGCCAGGGAGGAAGGATACTGGAAAACTGTTCTTAATGCCTGATAGTGATATATGTGGCCCACAAATAGGATTACTAGTCATGGTTATCCAAGGTGCATCTGACATAAGTACATGTGGCTCTAAAGAGAGGCACATACTCATGGGGTTACTACAGGTGAAAAAAAAAAAAAAGGAAAACTACTCTTTCCTTTCTTAAAGGAGAGGGGTTTTTATTAGCAGAAATGATAGCTGAAATAGTTTTTAACCTTTTCATTTGACAGCCACAATACTTTGCTATTAACCTTGCTCATAGGCAAAGGAAAGTAAATTAAAAATAATCCTTAGAGACCCATTCATCTCTGCAGGTATAATGACCTGTAACCTCACAGATACCATCTCTGGTAGGAACAGAACTTGAGTTCTACAGTATCTTTATATTAGGCTTTCACTTGAGAAATTGTGCTTTGAAACCTAGTGGGGAGGGGATGTGTGTCAAAAGTCAAAGAACTGGGCAGGTCTCTGTTTCAAGTACTGAAATACAGGATGATGTTGAATTCCCCCCCCCCCCTTTTTTTTTTTTATGTTGAAACGTATTAGAATGTTTCAATGAAAGCCACAGCTGTCTCTTTGTGCATGGGTATATGCAGACACCTACTGCACACTTGCCTTCTGTGAATCCAATGCAGAGCAATTTGAAAGTGCAAACATATATTTCACAGATTACCATGGGGATCACTTTAATCAGCTTTGAGACCTGCTAATGCTGTAGAGATCTTTGAAGGACTACTGCTGTTTTCATCTCCATGCAGCCAGTGCAAGAAGGAATGAACGTCATGTCTCTGTGCCGTCGCTGGAAGAGATGCTTCTCTCTAGGTAACTGTACAATGGGCAGCTGCTTTTGTTGTGCATTACACTGAACTGGGGGTGGACAGAATTAAGAGCAACAGCTTTGGGAACACTTCAGAGCAAAAGGTCACTACGTATTCAGTAAGTCTTGCTAATCTAGTATTGGCTAGAAGCCAGTGTTACAGGCTTCTGGGCTTTTAGTAGAAGACAACAGATAGCTTTAAATAATAAGCATATAAATGGAAAAGCATTTATTCTTCTTGTTTAAATTGTTCTCTTAGAAATCAAGATCAGCTGTGCTTGCAGCTGATATGCTTAAAGCTGTTAGTAAATTGTTACAGAGCAGATGCATTACAGAAAGGAAAAAAGCACTTGGGTGTCAGAATGCTAACAGAATTATGATGTGCCAAGGATATTTTTAGCTTCAACCAATATTAATGCAGGGAAACAGGCCTCAAAGGTGGGAGGAGAGAAGGCTGTAACTGCTTTCTTTTAAGCATTAGCTGTGGCTGTCAGTTGTGCTAAGGAGATTTCTGATGACTGTTTTTGAAATATTCCACTAATCCCAAAACAGATAGATGTATCTGATAGTTATGAATATGGCCCAAAATGGGATTACTAGTCATGGTTATCCAAGGTGTATCTAACAAAAGTACTAGAATTTCAGGATCTTTCTGGAGCAGTGGGATTATTGACAGGAGAGATGCTTATTTTTGTTTGAAATATAAGAGTCCAATATATCTGTAGCTTTTGCCACCTCATGTTCACTTTTTAAAAACTATTTTAACAATCAAATCTGATACATTCCAGGAACTGCAAATAATCAGACTGGAAGAAGGGAGTAGAATTACTGTTTTGCCTTGTCAAATGCAATGGTTTCAGTATTTTTTTTCAGTGGTTTTTTGGTTTGAAAGATTTTTTTTTGAGCTGGAAATTCAAAATAAACTTAAATACAAAGTTGCTTTTATTTCAGAGACTGAAAGTGCATGCAGAATGAACACAATATGTTTTTACATGTTTGTCCAATTAATCTGCATTTGTCCTGTTGCCTTGTCATTAAAATGCTTCTGTGTTAAATGAGTAGCTCTAAATCCAGTACCTTCCACACTGTTTCAAATGCTGAAGATTTGTTCAGTGTTTTCTAATGTATGCCTGTGTTTTGAACTCAGTTACCAGCTGGTAGGCCATGCTAGTCCAGGAATTAAAAAAAAAAACAAATAATTTGTGAAAAGAGCAGTGAGATGTTGACACGTGACATTACCAATAGATGAGCAGAAACACTGGCCTCCATAGTCTTAAAACCATGTAACCCCAAACCTAGAACATAGAAGCAGTGCATGGTATATTGACTTCTCACTGAACCAATGCCTCCGTTACCTCTTTCAAAGCTGCCTTAGTGCTGCTTCTTGTGGGGCTTGCTCAAGATGTGCTGTTGGTTAGAAAAAAATTGATGACACATTTCTTTTAGGATGCCTTGGTGTTGTTATAGTATTTATTAAGTTGTTGGAAACCTGGAGCATATGGAACTCGTAGGTATCTTTCAGAGTTGAATCTGAGTTTGAGAAGTCTGAACAGCTTTGAGAAAATCTATTGTACATGAAGTGTTTGGATTTAAACTTAGGGGTTTCAGTAACGGCTTGGGAGGTTCCTTGAGCTTACTGGACCTGCTTATTTAAAATTCTGTTTTACTTGCCTATTTAAAACTCTGGTGTTGAACAGTAGCTGCTGAAGCTGAGTATTCAACTTTGTGTCAGGCTATTAGGTATAATTCATATGCTACCTGAAATTTATTTTTTCAGGCCTTGGATGTATCATCAGTTCGTATAAGTCAGACACATGTGGATATAAAAAAACCCCCCTGCTTCAAGTCCAAGTTATGGTAAACAAACTCCTAGCAAATAGACAAGTGAATTTGGAGAACAGAAGGAAAGAGTAGAATAGGAGTGAAGCAACACCATTTTTATTTAGTGCAATATGGGGACTTTAACAACAAGCCACTTGTTTTAACTGGTGTCAATTCTTAGTGCCCTTAATGTTTTTGAAAACATAGTCTGGAAGCTGGGGCAGCGGAAGAAGGAATTAGCTTTTTTACTTACTAGTGATATGGGTTCAACCTTGCAATTTAGCTGACATCTGTGGCTATGAAGCTTGAGGCAGAATAAGAATAGATCATGTTCAGTGTGATTAGCTCAGCATTATCAGCAGAAGCTGCTTGTTTTTGGCATTAGCTGAGAAGGTAACAAAATTGCTTGGGAGATGGAGAAGAGCTATTTTAGGCCAAGTGCTATTCCTCTTGTGGTCTCACCAAGGCTGCATATGAGGATTGTTAGAGGGAATAGAAACATCGGGTCTTTATTTTGTTATTCCAAGATGCCAAAAGAAATGAACCGAGGAGACCTTAACACATACCACAGACAGCCCTAGGCACCTTTGCTTTCCCCTACCTGAGTATTTTGTCAACTCATTTTGGCTTTGAATAATGTGGCTGTTTGCTGTTCATACAGAGGGAAATGAATTTTATTGGATGGATCTGCTTCTTATCCCTTGCCTCACTAAGAGTTCTGTCCTGTCTCTTGAAATACACAATATTTTGTATGACAGCGCCTCTGAATCTTCTCTGTATACAGTTTCTGCTAAACTGTAAACCCCTGAGGCAGCATAATTCTGGCTGCTGCTGTTTAGTTCTCTGAAGTGTCTCTAGCATTCTGCTAGGAATCTGTTTTGTTTGTGACAACATTTAGCTGCTTCATTCAAAGGAACTTGGGCATATGCATCAAAATCCAGGCTCCAGCTGTCTCTGGCATGCAATTCCATTTTCAGTTAGAGGCTGTTCCTCAAAACAAGCAGTGTTTTGTGCCTTGAATTTCTTAGTGTTAAGAACTTTCTAGTCAGTAATTTAAGACTATTCAGAAAGACCATTTTCAGTGTTGTCAAATTTAATTTAAATCTGGGATAAACAAAGCATGTACCATTCCTTTTTAGTTTTAACATTAACAAGGCCAAGCAAATGTTCTCCTAATTTCTTTAATCTCAACGGTTGCTTTTGTATCAGCTAAGGCTACAAGAAGTTTGTCATAAATGTTCAGTTCTAGTTAAGTGAAAGCTACTGATGCTGTGGGTCTGTTAACACAGCTGATCAATCATCTATGACCTACTGATCTGCCTGTACTGTGAGTCTCTCTCTATGTATTACAACACTGCAGGTCTTCTGTAGTTACATGATACCAGTGATTGGTCCTCCTTGGACTGACAAGTACATCCAAGCTTTTCTTTTGGCTTAGGTGAGCTCTGATTTTATAGCAACAGTCTTTGCAGTGATCCCTGAAGTGCACTGTCAGGTGTTTGCACTGTAGGATATTGAACACTTGTATGTTCCTGAAGGCTGGATTAATCCTTCTCTCAAGGACGGGCACTTGTAAGCTGCAATGTAGTAATCCAGGCTTCAAAGTAAGCAAGCCCAAACTAGAAGCCACTCACCTGTCTTGTGTTGTTGACTGACTAAATGAAATTGTCTCCCAAATTGGTCTCAGAGTAGGCTGAGAAGCGATCTCTTTCTAACATGATGGCTCCTCTCACAGAGAAAAGCTTGACAGAGGCTCTTTCTGCATGGCAGCTTCCCTTAGTAGTTACTCTTATAGGCAACTACTCTTGAGTTTCTTAAAACTTGTGAAATCCATGAGCATTATCACATTTGCTAACTTGTCTGCTGATCTTAGTCTTGTTAATTTTGATAATATACACACATTGCATAGTTATAAAGAGAAAAGGAGCTAAGTTACAGACCTGCGTCTGTTTAATTTTCTTTGCAATTTCTGTGTTAACTTGATGGATGACAACTTCCTCCTTGTATCCTGGAATCCAGAAAACAAGGTTCATTTGCCCAGCAGTTGTCTCTTGTTGTGCTTTTGAAGATTGATTTACTCTTCATATCCTTTTGGGGCCACTGTCTTCAACTGAGACATCTTCATCCAACTCTTGCTTTGTTTATTGATCTATATTTTGCACAGAAAATAATTCTGTTAAAATAAACCTACAAAACTGATTTCCTTCTATGCATTTCTAAAAGATCTGCTATAAAGGTATGGATGTCCTTCTGTGTTCTGATTCGAACAGGAAAGTTATCTGAGAGCTTTAAGTCTCGCTGTCCCAAGTTTGATTTGTAGTAGGACTGTCCATGGCAATCTTGAGTTGCTTTAGCTGAACACAAGTTTATTTTACTTTAGCTTTTGACAGACACAAATTCAGGTTAATTTTAAGCATAAATTCTAGTATGAAGAACTCCAACCTGATGTTGTTTTGCTCGCTTAGTATCCTCCTAGTTTTGCTGGAACATGCAACTGCCCAAAAAAACCCAAACAAAACCAAACCCCTGAAAACCCAAACCAGCAATTACAGGCATTTGGGGAACGTACCATGAGTTAGAGTCAGAACTGAATTCACTTCCAGCTTTTCTGTTTTGCATTGTCTCTAGTCTATAAGAAAAACAGTACCTCCCCTGGGACTGTACATAATGCTGCTTATGTGTCTTCCTGCATAGGGGCTTGGTCTGGCTGAGTAGTCACTTAGATATCTGCAATAGCATTTTGGATACTAACTGTACTGATTTGCTATCCACTTTATTAATGTTGCATGGTGGCAAGCATTTCAGCCTTTTACTGTACAAGCCCCATTGTAGGGTTCCTACTGCCTGGAATGACAGATATGGAGGGATAGCTCTTGCGTCCAGCATCACAAACATTTCCTGATGATGCTCTGAAGGCTGGGTACATGTGCTCTCATGCACTGTGTATGTAGCAGCTAACAACTGCCTTCTGTCACTAGAATTTGTCACAGCCTCCTTGTTATCCTAGATTGAAGCTCTCTGAATGTCAGTAGTCCAGTCTAAAAGACTTTAACTGCTTATGCTCAGCGCTCACGTTAGCAGAACTGACACCATTCTGTTTTTAGGTAACTCTTTACCATCTAAGCTGATTAGACACTACTAGGTCAGAAACTCAGTACTAGTGGAGTCCCAGGTGAAAATATAC